TTTCATATGCTACTTAAATACATTTTTATATTCTGTCTTTATAAGTATGTGGTTGTAAATATATGTATAAAGTTGTTCAGCTTTTGTTCAGGTTTGTGTTGCATCATGATTCCAACAAACCGTTTGTACAAAAACTGGTGAAGTGGGAAGAAAGAAGCAGAGGCATTCAGGCACAATCCAGCTGTGTGTAACTACTGAAGTTCTGATGAGATAAAAATAAAAGCTTATAAAAAGTACCAATAAAAACTGAAGTCGGGATCTGGTGTGTTGTTTCCAGGAGGGCACTAGGTAAATCAGTATCAATAGGAGAACCAGCCTGTTGTTAGGGCATTATTATTAATAACCTCCTTTCCATTGTGACATTCACTTGAATATCTGGTATCTGAAAATGGTCTAATACCATTGAGACTTGGCTGAGCCCATAAATGGATGTCCCAGGCTTTTGTGTGGGGGACTAAAATTATTTTTTTTTATGTAAAGTCACCTTTCATCAACAAAATTCTTTGATTCAGTAATTGGAAAGTAATGAAGTACATAGTGAGCTTTTGAATGTTTTTCATGCCCTAATTACTCAATGGAGGTAAGAGCTGCAGTGAAATAAAATGTGTTCTTTTTGGAGCTGAGGTCCTACTGTCGAGTGAGGCAACTATAATGTTGAATGTCCTCATAGCATCACCTACCAGTGAAGTATAAATCAGAGACAGTTAAGTGTAATTGCTGGTGAAAATACAGCTGGAGGATCTGGATATTGCTTTTTTCTTTGCTTATTTTTTCATCAAATAAGCAGTTCTGTATGATATATTAACTTAGCTACATAAATACTTAGTGTTTACAGCTGGAGGAGGTAGCATCTGATCTGTAAAGCTACAGTGACAGAAGGTTACTGAAGCTTGCAAGGTCTCCTTGGTTGTAACAACATAACCATAAGAGAGAGTCATATGTTTATTTTTTACACAGCACAAGTTCATTATGCCCTAGTGCTAGTTAGTCACTTTGATTTTAAAGTTGGATATTGGCTACGCTTATTTCTTTGATTGTTCTAGTTTATAAATTGTGGTGTCGGCCAGTCATGGACAGCTCTTAGTGATAGGTGCTTTACAAGTAATGGTCAAAGAAGTAATCCCCCTGACCTGGAAGTCTTGGAGGGGGAGCAGAATAACCCCTCCACGATTCAGGTAAAAACAGTTAGAAACCTGAACTGTCAGAAGTCCACAGGGCTGGATGGGGTCCTTCGAGAGTGCTGAGGTAGCTGGTGGAAGTAACTGCCCATCTGCTTTCCAATGTCTGTTAGCGTTCCTGGTCATCCAGAGAGAACCCAGAGGATTAGAGGCTTGCCAGCATGACTCCCATCTACAAGAAGGGTTGTAAGGAGGATCTGGGGATCTGCAGGCCCATCAGCCGTGGTGCCAGGAAAGATTATAGAGCAGATCATCTTGAGTGGTATCACATGGCATGTGTGAGACAACTGGGGGATCAGGCCCAGCCAGCATGGGTTCACGAAATGCAGGTCCAGCTTGACCAACATGATCTCCTTCTGCAATTGAGTGATTCACCAGGTGGATGAGGGAAAGGCTGTTGATGTAGCCTACCTAAACTTCAGCAAAGCCTCTGAAACTGTGTCCCGCAGTATTCTTCTGGAGAAGCTGGCAGCTTCATGGCTTGGACGGGTACACCCTTTGTTGGGTAAAGAACTGGCTGGATGGCCAGGCCCAGAGAGTGGTGGTAAATGATGACCACGAAATCCAGCTGGTGACTGGTGACAAGTGGTGTTCCCCATGGATTGGTATTGTGTCCTGCCCTGTTTAATATCTTTACTGATGACCTGGATGAGGGCATTGAGTGCACCCTCAGTAAATTTGCAGATGACACCAAGTTCGGGGGAATCTTTGGAGGGATCTGCTTGAGGGTAGGAAGGCCCTACAGAGGGATCTGGGTGGGCTGGATCACTGGACTGAGGCCAATAGAATGAAGTTCAGTAAGACCAAATGCCACATCCTCCTCTTTGATAACAGTAATCTCATGCAGTGTTACTGGCATGGATCAGAGTGGCTGGAAGACTGTGTAGAGGAAACAGACCCTGGGGTATTTGTCAACACTCAGCTGAATATGAGTGTGCCCAGGTGGCCAAGAACAATGGTATCTTGGCTGGTGCCAGAAATAATGTTGCCTGCAAGAGCTGGGAAGTGATCATCTCTCTTCACTCAGCACTGGTGAGGCCATACCTTGAGTACAGTGTTCAGTTTTGAGCTGCTCAGAACAACAAAGACATTGAAGCCCTGGAGTGTGTTCAAAGAAGGGCAGTGAAGCTGGTGAGGGTTCTAGAGCACAAGCCTTATGAGGAGCAGATGAGTGAACTGGGATTGTTCAGTCTGGAGCAGATGAGACTCAGTAGAGACTTTATCACTCTCTTACAACTACATGAAAGAAGGCTCTGGCAAGGTGGGTGTTGACCTCTTCTCCAGCATAATTAACAATAAGAATAGAGGGAATGGTCTCGTGTTGCACCAGGGGAGATTCAGTTTGGACATCAGGAAAAATTTCTTCTCCAGAAGAGTGGTTAGGTGTTGAAACGTGCTTCGCAGGAGGTAGTAGAGGTGTTAAGAAATGTTTAGATATTGTACTGAAGGTTATTGGGAAATTTTGGTGATAGGTGGATGGTTGGACTTGACCGTCTTTTCCAACCTTGGTGATTCTATAATTCTGTGAAAAAATGAAGATGGTCTACTAATAAAAAATTGGAAAAAGCTTGGGTGAGCCTTTTTTCTTAACCAGCAATAATAAATGTTTTTACCATTTACAGACTCTGACTGGATTTATGGAGATTTTTTGTACATTATAAAATAATTCTTTTTTAATCTTGATGTGTGTATAATTTGTTATTGTAATGTAGCTGTTAGTAATTGAGGCAGATATTTATAATGCAATATTTTTCACAAATACGCAACATTATTTTTTTCTGAATATCTACCTCCTTTCTTTCTAGTTTGTCAGTGTAAATCTTATGGCAAACTAAAGAGTAAACAGAAAAAAATATATTAGACTGTAGATAACCTGTGCAGTCTCATATTATTTTTTGCTTATTTTGGTAAATTCTGAAAGTAACTAGCTGCAGCATAGGATTCAAATGGCATAACTTCACAATCAGTGAATTCTCAAGTAAATTTTCAAAGGGAAGAGTGTTTTCATTCTTCTAAAACGATACTTAGGCATTTGCTTTGTGCTTTGAATGCTACTTATCCTGCAAGTTCCAGTGACTCAGGCAGATTCCTGGTCATGGCATACCAAGCTTGCACATCTTTGGATTTTTTCCTCCTTGTGTTATGTGCAGAAACTTTTCTGCTGCAGTATTTCATGTGGACTACTTAGTCTTTATTAAACATACAGTTGCAATTACGATGGAGAAACTTGATACAGGTAATTCTGAAAGGACTTCTAAAAAATAGAGTGAATAAGCATGCTTAATAAAGGCTTGGGCCTGCCTGCTGAAATGTTATTCAAACACAGAGAAAGAATTTTACATTCACAAATGCTAAGTATTTCATTACATGAACCACTTTATGGTTATTTTCACATGAAAATAAGGATATTTTCACAGGAAAAACCTATCAATAAAGGCACATAACTGCTTTAGGAAGTTGATTCCAATGTTGCAATGTAAAAATAACAGAAATTTAAAGAGCTGTTGGGCATAGATATCTAAGAGTAAAGAAATTTCACAGGATCAGCTCTAATTTGGCATATATATTTTTTTCCTGGTAGTTGTATTTCTTTTGTAGTGGCCTCCTATTATCCTTTCTTTGAAAAAAGAAAACAATAATTTACAATTTAAATGTTTTCTCCCTTTGCAACATCCTTGTGGTGTGTTTACAGTCTTGACAAAATCACACATTTGAAAGCACCAAGTGTGACCAAAATTATTGCCCCTTTCCCTTCCCCCCCCTCAAGCATAGGCGCCAACACACATGCACACTCCTGCCTCCTCTATTTCAAGGTCCTGTCAGGAATGTTGTGCTACTATCTGGAAAAGAAATGTGACATTTGGGTCAGTGTTTCTAGTTCATAATATGCTTACAGCATTAATTATTTCAGAGGTGATGGTGTCACTGTGTGCATGCATAAGTGAGATATATGTCTATTCAGTGTATGCTGGCTGCTAGTCTGTTCCAGTACCTTGTCCCATGACATTTAAGCCCGAAGAAAATTCTGTTTGTGTAGTCAGTGTTCATTTTGTGCATAGAGGGAGGCTAGTTCTTGGCTGTCTAATATATATTTTAACATAATTTGATTGCAATGGAAAAGTACTATTACCTCACAGTTCTAGCTCATAAACAGCTAAACAGTATTTGACATTTAAAGAGATTTTCTGTTGTGCACTTGTATAGTCAAGAGTAATTCTAATCCTATTAAAGATACTGTGTCATGGAGGCGTGCCCTGTGGGAGAAGACTTCTTCTAACTGGTTAGATGGAAAGCAGAGGGGAGGAGCAAGAAAGAGGGTGGATTTATTATTTGCTATTAGGTCAGGGATTTCTGTGGGAAATGCCCAGTGGTTGCAGTTGCTGCTGATTTCACATCAACAGCAGTGAAACACAGAGTGCACTCTGATAGCTGATTACTAAATGAGATACTGTAAACGGGTGGGAAAAAAAGACAGCGTGTGAAACAGACAGACTCAGAGAGGGAAGGTTAGAGCAGGAAAAGTGGTTAGGCGACAGAGTGTTCTCCCAGGTGTACTGCAGAAGCTTTTTGGAAATGGATGCAAGGACCATCTGCTGCTTATAGATTAGAGGGCTGTAGAATAAGGGCAGAGAGATGAGCCTGTGGCTCTTGAATAAAAACTGGAGTTCTTCATATCTGATTTATCAAGATAAATCATGAGTCTGTGCATGGATAGGATATTAAGGAATAAATCCATGCTATGGATAGAGTACAGCCTGCATTGCTATAAAAAATAGATAAATAGCAACAATGCAGTGAATAAATTCTGCAGTAATCTGATTTATGTGTGAAGAAAAAGATAAGCGAAATACAGAAAGCCTGTATTGCATTGCATTTAATACTGAGAGATGCTGTACATTGAATCTGACAACTATGGAAAGAGAAATCATGGAGAAGTCAAGTAGCGAGGATTCTTCAATTCACCGGAGTCCATCTTTGGATAGCAAAGACTCAGATTTTGCTAAATCTTCTGCCTCAGGAAGGCAATTTGGTCGAGGTTTTACTGCTGGAGCTTTCTATGGTACAGCTGGATCACGCGCACAGAACCACACTGGCGTCGAAACTGGGACTGGCATAAAAAGTAACAAATACAGTGCACCCAAAGGCAGCAAATATGTGGTCTTTTACCTGGATCTATCCTTTGTTTTCCTTTTAGAATTTAAGAAGTGCGACATGACAAGAGGCTGCCTGTGTTGTTTGAAATATATGATGTTCCTTTTCAATTTGATATTTTGGGTGAGTACTGCATTTTCAGTTGCCTTCATTTGTCACTGTTGTCTGTACTGCTGCATTACATTTATAGTGCATCTCTGAAGCACTACAGTAAGTTCTTCCCCTCCCCCCTGCTGTCTCCTCCTCCCCTCCTTGCCCTGTCTCTCATACTTGCATGGAATACATTCAGTATTAAACCCATGCCTAATGAGAAAATGTACAATTTTAGTATCTTTATTATCATCTGGCTGCTGTGATTCAACTAATAATTCGTGAAACTCAATATTCTTATGTGTTTTGAACTGGGTTATTTAAGAAATGGCAGAACTGTTATTCTTCGAGAAGAGAAGAATTACTGTAGGGTTAAAATCCTGTGGTGGCAGGTTTCATAATTTATTAAGCTGTAGTTAAATATAATTTTGAAGTACATTTTTGCTGTTGACAAAAATGCTGTTTATTTATTGTAAACTTCATTCACAAGCTGCCTTTTTGTTTGAAGGAAATTCTGTTCCATTTCTCCAGTTAAAAACAATTAATTGCCTGTGTTCTAACCTCTTACAATATCAGCAAAAATGTGAAATAACTGGAATGATGAAGTAGTCTGGGTTCAGTTTCAGCTACAGTTGTCCACATTGATATGTGAAATTGGAAGTTTGCATTTACTTCTGAAGGATCAAAATTGATTTTCTTCTGTCAGCCAAGAGGCAAGAGGAGTTTTAACAATGCCTCAACAAGCAAATTAAAAGCATAATGTCTACTTCGAACAAAATGATGTGAGGTACAAGGTAGGGAGGAGATGTTCAAATCAATTGGCAGCTAGGCATCCTTGAATGAACAGTATTGCTGAGGAACATACAGACTAATTCTAATACTCGGTGCGTGAATACAGCTGAAAATGAAATAGTTTGCTTCATTTAAAAGCAAAGGTCACTGTTTTCCTGATGATTACAGTACTTGAATGTATGAACCACATCATTAATGTTTGTGGTCCAGAAATATACAGTACACCTCATAAATAAACGAAGACATCTTTTCTAGATTTATTTTAAAAGAAGATTAACGATACAGTTTAGGTGGTTTGTAGTCATCAGTGTTTAAAGTTGGGAGTCTTACTAGCAGCTTCTCTGTTCATCTGACCCACTTACTGAAATAACTTTTAGGAGCAAGCATTAATGGGAGATTTGGTCTAGCACTGAACCACCAACGGCGATCTTTTAACAGAAATAGATTGAAATGTTTCATCCACTGAAATTGTGTGAATCTTAGCTAAATAGAAAGAAATGGAAAGAAAGGAGTGAAGAAGAGTCCATCGAAGTTTGTATATTTTTATTCTTTTATATTTTGTATACAAACACTATCAGGAAATCGCCTTAACTGTTCCTGAGATTAATCACTTTTATTCAACTTGAAGGTTACATTACTTTGATGCCTTGGAAGCATTTTTTTTCATATGATGCTTGTTGCCATTATTTTTGGAACAGCTCTTCTGATACCTTATTTGTGTTCTCTGTGATCAGTCATTAGTTATCTCTTCACCCTCACTTACTAAAATACATGTGTTTTCTTATTAGGATTATATTACTTTTCTTTCTGTTATTAAACATTGTCACATCTCTGATATTCCAAAAATGGTTTTTTTATGAGCTATGCTATACAGAATAAATATGGTTCCGTATAATCACAATTACAGAAGAATGCTGACGTGCAAGATGTCAAGTACTTTTCGAAGTTAGTTGCAACAGAAATTTGATCAACCAGCCTGATTTATGTTGTTCACCTTAGCTGTATTAAATTCCTCCTTTCTTCTCTTTACCTGACTTGAATGCAGTTCTGCCAGCCAAACTTGACATATTGTGCATCATTTGAGAGGACTGAAGTCTTGCTAGATTCTTATTGTTCGTAATCAGACTGTGTTACTACCCTGTGTCTTAAGCCATTCAAGTAAATAAGCCATCTTATTTTACTCATGGAAATGTGAGCTAGAATGAAGCATGCTATAGGCAAGTGTACTGTAGTACACCTGGGAACCTTTGTTTGTTATATTACAGCTGATGGGCTTTGGGTGTTTGGCTGTGTGTATGTGTTCCTTGCTGACTCTGAAAATTTTGGTGTCTCTCACTCCTGCCTTAAACTTTCCTGCAAGCCCAGCTCTAGGCTTCCCAGGCAGCTCTGCTACTGCCTCCTACTTCTACTCTGTACTGAAGCACTCCCTGCTTTTTCAGTTCTGTCTTCCCTCTCAACCCTTTTTCTTCATTCCCAGGTTTGCCTGGTCTCATTAGTCCTTGTCTTCAGCACACTGAGCTGTTAAGTACAGAATATGTTTCCCAGCATTGCTGACAGGGCTGTGTCTAGGACTGTAGTACCCCACTGCAACTTGAGCCTTGCATCCTTCAGAATTTTTATTAAGAAAGAGAAGTCCAGAACCATGAAATTGTGTCTGCTCTTGAGCAGTGACAATCATCTTTTGTAGTGCAAAGTGATTTCTTTTATTTCAAAACCCTTTTTTTAGGCAACTGTAAACAGAGATTGAAAGCAGTTCCAAGGTGTCTTTAAACACATGCCAGTCTAGCAGCTATGTGGCAAATGAAGTAGTTAATGGGCAATCTGAATGACCAGTGTACTTTCCATAAAGCTACTTTGTTCAAGATTTGTAGTAGCGCAATGGTTGGCTTCTGGGAAGTGTTGTTCTACTGTAGTGCTACAGTAGTTCTTCAACACATCTACTGAAAAATGACGAACAGTGTTTACCTCTGGTGTCCAAGAAATCTGGACCCTGTTATCTTGAACAATTCTCAGCGTTGGCCCAAAGAAGGATGTTTTTTCCATTTTTTGCTTATTGACACAGAGAAGAAGATTTAGTCTCTCCCACATGTGCCAGTGAACTGTACTATTCCTTCTGCCTGTCAGCCAGATCACACATATTTGAAGATTAATTATGTATGCATATATATATATAAAATATATATATATTGCAGAGGAGAGCATTAGAGAGGTTAAGATTGGAGGCAGCCTGGGCTGTAGTGACCATGCCTTGGTGGAGTTTGTGATCTTGAAGAATGCGGGCCTGGCAAAAAGCAGAGCTAGGACGCTGTGCTTTAGGAGACCACCAGCTGCTCAAGGAACTGCTGAGTGGGACCCCCTGGGAAACTGTCCTTAAGGGCGTGGGTACAGAACAAAGCTGACAGCTCTTTAAGGACACCCTTCTGAGAGCGCAACGGCTCTCCATCCGCCAGCAGAAGAAGTTGAGCAGGGGGGCAAGCAACTGTTGTGACTGTGCAAAGACGTGCAGCTTAAACTGAGAGAAAAGAGGTGAAAGCAGGGTTGTGTATCCTGGGAGGAATACAGGGCTGTTGTCCATGTGTGTAAAGATAGGATTGGTAAAGCCAAGGTGCAGATGGAGCTGAACTTGGCAAGGGATGTGAAAGATAACAAGAAGGGATTCTACAGGTACATAGGCAGGAAAAGACAGGCCAAGGAGAGTGTTCCCCCTCTGATGAAAGGTAACGGGGAGCTGGCTTCCTCAGACATAACAAAAGCTGAGGTACTCAATGAGTGCTCTGCCTCAGTCTTCGTGGGTGTCAGGCTTCCTGTGTCTGCCAGGACCGTGAGCCTCTAAGTGAGGGTGTGGGGAGCGGTTTTTGTCCCACTGTAACAGTGGAACAAGCCCGAGTCATCCTCATGAAATTGAACGTGTGTAAGTCCATGGGGCCAGATGATATCCATCCTAGGGTTCTGAAAGACATGGCTGATGTGGTTGCTAAGTAACTCCATCATATTTGAAAAATCATGGCTGTCTGGTGAAGTCCCCTGTGACTGGAAAAAGGAAAACATTACTCCCATTTTTAAGAAAGGGAGAAAGGAAGACCCAGGAACTACAGGCCGGTGGGCCTCAACTCTGTGCCTGGGAAGATCATGGAGCAGATCATCCTAGAAGCTATGTTATGGCACATACAAGATAAAGAGGTGATTTGAGACAGCCAGCGTGGCTTCACCAAGGGCAGATCATGTCTGACCAACCTGGTGGCCTTCTAATGATGGAGTGATGGCTTCGATGGATGGGGAAAGGGTGGTGTATGTCATCTACCTGGACTTCTGCAAGGCCTTTGACATGGTCCCTCACCATATCCTTCTCTCTAAATTGGAGAGGTATGGATTTGAAGGATGGACTGTTCAGTGGATTAGGAATTGGCTGGCTGGACACAGCCAAAGGGTTGTAATCAGTGGTTCTGTGTTAGGGTGGAGGCCAGTCACAAGCGGTGTCCCTCGAGGGTCAGTCTTGGGACCATGCTCTTCAACATCTTTATCAATGACATAGACGATGGCATTGAGTGCACCCTCAGCAAGTTTGCAGATGACACCAAGCTGAGCAGTGTGGTCGATACAATGGAAGGAAGCCAGCCAGAGGGACCTGGAGAGGCTGGAGAAGTGGGCCCATGAAAACCTAATGAGGTTCAGTAAGGCCAAGTGCAGGATGTTGAGCAATCCCAGGTATTTATACAAGCTGGGGGAAGATCTCCTTGAGAGCAGCCCTGCAGAGAAGGACTTGGGGGGTGCTGGTGGATGAGAAGCTGGACATGAGCCAGCAGTGTGTGCTTGCAGCCCAGAAGGTCAACTGTATTCTGGGCTGCATTAAAAAAGGAGTGGCCAGCAGGGAGAGGGAGGTGATTGTCCCCCTCTACTCAGCTCTTGTGAGGCCCCATCTGCAGTACTGCGTCCAGGCCTGGGCCCCCAGTACAGGAAGGACGTGGAGCGGGCCCAGAGGAGGACCACTAAGATGATTGGAGGGCTGGAGCACCTCTCCTATGAGGAAAGGTTGAGGGAACTGGGCTTGTTTAGCTTGGAAAAGAGAAGGCTCTGGGGAGACCTTATTGTGGCCTTCCAGTACTTGAAGGGAGCATATAAACAGGAAGGGGAATGGCTGTTTACGAGGATGGATAGTGATAGGACAAGGGGGAGTGGTCTTAAACTGAGACAGGGGAGGTTTAGGTTAGACATTAGGAGGAAGTTTTTCACACAGAGAGTGG